TAAATGAATCGAGCATATTCGGAATCTCCAAAGGTATTATTGGGCGGTTCAAGCACAAATCAAATTGCTTAGCTTAATGTTTCGGACACTTGTATACCCTCCCTTCCATATACTCCAATACCCCCACACACTGCACCTCGTTTCAAAAAAGCCATCTTTTTTTCTTTCACAAATTGACAAAGCCTATGCATGCCAAATTGGTGTAGGAAATCCATGCTCGGCACCAAAAATGAGGAACAAGGTCAACATGTGTTTCCAATACCTTAACAAAGTCATGGACGTTGCATGAGAAAAAAACCAGCAATGCAAGGATCTCATAGAGAAAAGGAAAAAGAGAAAAGATCTAAAAACCAATATGGCACTAAGAAAGCGCTAGCGCGACCAAAGGATACCAAGAAAAGCATAGGCGGTGCTTTTCCTCATTAAAAACATCATATGTAAGCCTAAAGTTCAAGTATTACTACATGAAAATAAAATCTCCTCTCACTCATACATAGATCACTATGAACATAAGCTTCATATGTTGCCCTTAACTCCACTTATCCTTAACATCAAGCTCTCTAAAGAATTTCTCTCGAGTAGGATGAATTTGGATATGTATGATAGTTCAATCGATCCTACAAAACATGTACAAAACATGAGAGGAATTCTCGAGCTTGTGCTACATTGGACAAATGCCATCCGCAAAGTACTTTCAAATACTTTCCAAGGTATTGCTAGGAAGTTGTACAACAACTTAGACTTCAAGTCTATCTTGAGCTTTAAGGATCATCTCTAAGTTAATAACTCAATTCTCTACCGGTATTTTTGCTTAAAAAAGTTTATCTATTCTTTTCTCTATTACGTAGCACGAAAAAAAAGCACTCAAGTGTATCTCTTTTGATTCCATAAAAGATGCTATCAATGGACAATTTGATGGAACTAGTAGCCATAAAAGCCTTCATTAAAAAGGTTATAGATATCAAGTGGAAGAAGCTTTATGCCCTTCCCCCATCAAAACTAGTACCAAGTAAAAAACTAGTCGAAAGCCACATCAAGATGGAGGAAGTAATCATTGCCGAGGAGACACACTCTTAATTCTATAGAACAACCGATAAATAAAAAAAGTCATCATCTTCTTGTATAGGTTCAAAAAGAACCCAAAGAAGCCCACACATAGTTATCTAGTGTTTCTCGAAGTCCAGATTGCACCTCGAATGTTATCCGAATAGAAGTCTTTGTAGCTATTCGGAGAGATGCATTTTTAAATCACCTTCGTTAGTAAAAAGGTCATTCTCACCTAAGGAGTTTGGAGAAATATTACCTCTACCACCAAAATCATAAAAAAGGACACCTAAGAGCGTAACTCCTTGAAAAAAGAAATTGAAAATTTGATCGTTGGAGATTATCACAAAAGGTTTTTGAGGGATGATCCCAACCACCACATTGATAAACTGGAGCAACTTCAAAATGATGTGCCAAAAATCACTATTACCTTGCTAAGAGATAAAAGGATCATGCATTCTATGAAGGTGTGAAATAAACAAAAAAATTTCCTCCATCTAAGGCCTCAAGATCAAGCCGTTGAATCTACTAACCATATATACATGAATAATAAGCTATAAGTAAAGGATTACCTCTTGCAGCGTAAATCTAAATTCATTTTTCAGAAAATTCGTCCAAGTGTCCGACCTTTATTGATGATCCAAACAGTTCAAGTATCCATAAAGAAGTACTAAAAATCAATGGGGTACTAGCTTCACCTTTTCGATTTAGTATTTTCTCTAAAAATCAATCTAGGACAATTTTACGACAACCTTAAAGGAGAAGGAAAGAGTATTTCTTGCTAGGGTTTAGGAGAAAACTATTTTTTCCTTATTTTTCTCTCTTGGTCGTGTGTCTTATTTAATTTTAGGGCTGGTCGAAACTTTGCTCCCTCTTTTTTTTCTTTACCCGAATACGCTTTTGTTGATTAGCCTCTTCATGCCGCACCTTTGCTATTATATATAGAGGTAGAGTTTCCTTGTCCTCCAAGGACAAGGAGAGGGATGACCACAAGTTCTTTTTAGGAATCTAGGTTGTTATTTCCTTATCCCTCAAGGATGAAGAGTTATTTTATATCTGGACTATTTGATTATTATCTTTAAAATATTCAACCTTATCCAATAAGGTTGATATTTCTCCTCGTATCAAAATATCTTAAGTCTTTTGAATTAAACGTAATGGACCAAAACTATTTTAGCTCAATTTATTTATTTGGACTATCTAAATAAATATTCTTAGATTGTTTTAACGGAGTCCATAATAGGAAGTAATTTTTTAAAATACCCTTTTAAACAAAATTAGGAAACTCTTTTTCTTTAACGTTTTTTTATTTCTAAATTTGAAACTAACTTCTAAATTAGGAAACCGATTTCTAAAATAGAAAACTTTTCATTTTTGGAAACACTTTCCAAAATAGAAAACTTTTATGATTGGAAACATTTTTCAATATTTTTGCTTCTTATTTATAATGTGAATACTTAAACTTATGCGTATAACTCAATAGGCTCCTAGATATGTTGGCAATGTATCAAGAATAAAATAATTCTCTTTTATCTCTTGATACATAAATCAAGATTGGCTTTTAACAAGGCATCATGACTACCCAATTCTCTAGGAAGATTAGTAAATCTATTATTATCTTTCACGAGCATGGTTACCATACAATTCAATCCTCGTGCCAACTTATCACGAGTGTGATCTCGAACTTAGTTATTAGTCTTGTTCGATTATGATCACATAAATTTTTTACGATTCTCAAATGTCTTAGCTCTTTGAGTAAACCAACTATGCTTTATTGATATATTTCTACTATGGCCATAGATTTCTTAAGCGGACATTTATCGAAATGCAATGTGATAACTCCTTTAGCATACAAGGAATGACATGTCCTATTTTAGTCATACACCTATCTCTATTGGATTCCTAGTACACTCAACGAATTATCCACATGCGGCCCATTAATGGGTCAATCGAAATGAGTGTCAAAGTGCATAAGTCATCCAACAAGATAATCGTGACGACTTCAAGTCTAAGGATCATTTGAACCCATCTCGTATAAGATTCCTATAGACTAAAACTAAATGGGTTCTCATGACGAGTCAAGTCTAGTGATATGTTCTCTAACATAAATCACCTAAGTGCTTGCTTTGGCATCACCATGCCAATATGTATGAGATCTCCTACTCGTTATCATATAGCATGAGTATAGCACTCACAAGTCTATCCGTATATTCTCAATGTCTATTTTTTACAATGCTACGACTTGGGACATTTAATGATATCATTTATGTGCATTAGTGTTTGTCTCACATCTTTCGATCAATCGCTATTGCAAATGCATATCATAAGGATTTTTATCAAATTCTATTGAATTTATCAACATGTAAACATAAGAATTAATATAATGACTTCTTTATTATTATCAAAATAAATAATACAATGATATATTAACTCAAGTCCATCCAAACATAGTTGGATCTTGGGCACCTATACTAATAAGAGAACTCGACCAAGACCATACACGTAAAGAAACGATCATGGGCAAAATGGTCTTAAGCTACGACACTAGAGGTAACACCATGACACAAGCTTATAATCTTTACCTTTAAGAACTCTATAGGGATTACCCTTCTCACTAATGACACTATAGTTATCATTACCATTATCTCCAGACACAAATTCTATAACATTCTAATATATGTAGGAGTGTAATAAATATCCTCTCTAAAGAAGCTTTCAAGCTGACAAGACTAAAAGTATTCCAACTTTAACCCATAACCGCACTAATACTAGGCATACAAAGTGGACAAGTAACTATGAAAGGAACAATGCAAATATCAATCAAGTTAGAGGCTCCCTCTTAGGAGATCACCATCATTTCAATGTTCACAATCATAAAAATATGAATGGCGTATAACAACATCTTCAATAGACTTTATTGCACGAGATAAAAGTAATAACCGAGCATAAGGCATTTCAATGTTCACAATCATAAAAATATGAATGGCGTATAACAACATCTTCAATATACTTTATTGCACAAGATAAGAGTAATAACCAGCATTAGGTATTTATCCTTAAAAATCTCATTTTCAAAAGAGATCGTCATCATTAGAGGGAATCAAGAGTAACTTTATGAAGGAGTTAACAAATACCTCTCCCAAATCCGAAGTCACATATCGCCTTTTCCATGATCCTTGAATTCAAGACCCTAATAAATGTCATTGTAACCATTTTGATATAAAAGTTTTTTTCATGATCAAATACTATGTTAGTCAAAATAATTGCCTAAAAAATGCCTTCTTACTTTATAGTCAAATCCCTTAACAAACGATTTGCTAGAATATCAATGAAAATTATCACGATCGTACTCTTAGAGAGGCAAAAAGATAGAACTCATACTTAAACCCCTCGAAGGATGGGAAGTCATAGAAATTATGGCCCTATCCTTAAAGGAACGAACGAGTTAGGCATCACGAGGAATGTACGCCACCTTCTAATCACTTATTTGGGTGTCGAAGAATCTCCTACCCAATCAAAAAGACTTGTTTTATAAGTACACAATGCACAAGGGCTTTCGTTCAAGCTCCACAAACGTTTATCCATCATCACGGTCGTCATGATCCACGTATCCTAAATTTGTTAATTGAGTTAAACGACAACAAAAAAATTGATTTAAAATTTTTAGTATAGTAAGAGAAAATTAGTTCAACGATCCATTGTGCATGTTATGAGGCTAGTGACCTACTTCATCCATGATAATCATTACCGGGTTAATTTTTTAAAGAAATATCAATCGCATTAAAAATTTATTTACAACAAGTTCGTAATATGTCAAAGTTAAGTTGATCTCTACATTTGACAATAATTTCATTGGAGCAACCCATCGGAACCGAAGAAGTCAATTGAAAAACTTGGTTAAGAAACATGGATAAAGTTTAAAGGGAAATAAAATTAATGTGCAAGGGGTTACTAATTTATGATAGCGGCGAAGAATATCGACGGACTTGCTTAGAACAAAGGGCAATGCCACAATGATAGAACATAATCATTGGCAATATATCAAAGATTCCATAATGAAGTTTAAACACCACCGTCCCTTTAAAAAAAAAAAAAAGAAAGAAAGAAAAAAAGATAATAACTAAATAGTTCTTAGATTGAAAATCAATATCAACAATTTATACTTTAACACTTCTAGCATGGCCATCACGAGTATAAGTTTGTGCATGTTTATAGTCAAATACCAATCAATATTGTCCTTCACTAATTGAAGATGATGAAAGATTAGGGTTCTTAGGATTGAGAAAGAAAAAGATGAAACACACGAAGAGAGAGAAATGACAATGTCTACTCGGTTTTTAAATAAATTTGAGTGTCTCGTTTGTTTTTTCATTTAGTTTAGGATTAAACGAGTTGGTTCAATTAGTTTTTTTTCCCATCCTTTAATATTAAACCAGTGTTTATATATATATGTATATATAAACTTGTTTAAAAGCTTTTTCTATTTTAGTTTGGATGTATACTAAAACGATTAGGGCTCATATCGCAACATCTTCTTGTTTGATTGGTTACTCGTTAATTTTAAATTACCACATAGAATGAATATTCAACAATGTTATAAGTTATAATAGATAATTAATAAATTTATAAGAATAAATGGTTTCAATTAATCTGAAAAAAAAATCGTATAGGGTCTAAAAAAAATGAAATTGTACAAGTAAAGCCATTTAATTTCTTATATCCAAAGCCATCTGACCCTACTGTCAAAAATTCCGGATCGGTCACTGCTAAAATTTAGACCTCTTTTTTTAATAAGAAAAGAATAATCCTCTAGATAAACCCCATTATTAGTAATATTTTTTATCTTCGTAATTATAAGTTACTTTTAATTATTTGACAAGGTATTTCCAATTTTGAACTCGGAATTGATGCCAGTCTAGCGATTGCGATACCATAAGCACACTTTTTCCGACGGAATATGCTATGGGACTATCCCGAGATTGCTTTCAGATTTATTTCTTTCTACGCACCGATATTTACTGTGGGAATCTTCGATGGCTCTATTAGCTGGTAGCTTTTTTAAAAAAATATTTAATTCTTTTTGTAAAACTATAGAATATAATTTATGATTTAGTCTTTCTTGGGAGACATCCAATACCACTTTATACTACTTTATTACTTTTTTATTTCATTTTCTAAATGAAGATTAGTCTAGAAAAAAATAATGGTAAAAAATGTGTAGTCACTATTCTACAACAGTGAACAGACGCAGCTTTAATTCCTAATATTTAACGAAGAAGTTGACGACATCAAAACAGTAAAATAAATCAGAAAGGTCCCTCTTTCTCAAGATTGTATAAAGACTATTGAATCAAAGGCAAACTTTACAGGAAGCTCACCTTTTTATCTTAAAAAATAAAAATAAAAATAAAAATATTGCAGTCTCAAAAGTAGCGAATCGACATGCTTTCTGCAAAAAGCATATATGAATTAACCATGCAAATTAATTATGTATTACAGTAATTAAAAAGGAAAGGAAAAAAAAAAAAAAGGGAACAAAGAAAAGTAGATGCATAAAGATGTGAGCTGAGAACTGACAGGCAAATAAAGTTGGGATCGCGCTGGCCTGACGATCACCCTGCATGATGTTAAAGAAAAAATCCGAAGGAGATCTCACCAGACAGCTGAAGAGAATATATGTGTAACCTTTTTCTCACACTGCAAAAATTATCAGAGCCGCTCCTTTCACTCAATTTTTTTGATTTATTATATTTTAGTTTTTCATGTGACACCAAAAGCAATGGTGGTGGAGAAAAGGTTATACATTTAGAGAAAGTAGCTAGCCATCTAGGCTTGGTGATGACCTATGTTGAATGAACTAATGCGAGTCACATTAAATTGAACTAAAATTTGTTCTATGTATTTGGTTAATTGCTTGAAGGCATAGAAACCTTAGTCTCATTCCAAATCATCTGCACCCCAATCTTAATTAATATGATAAATTCAATATATCATCTTCTTAATTTTCAATACATATAACTTCTTTATACTTTTACAGGAGTGAACTTTTATTAAAATTTATTTCTTTGTAAATTTCTTTCATGATAATCTATTCACCTTTGAGTTGATACACGGGTATAAATAATCAAATTACGAAATAAAAGGTGAAAAATAAAAAAGAGCTGAAACGGATGTAAAAAGATATTATATATTGTTGTTTATATATATATATAATTTTAGTTAATTTTATTAAGTATTATTATTACTATTATTATTTGTATGGGTCCAAAATACATAATAAATAAATTGAAGTAAGGATGGATCCTGCCCAGCATAAAGCTTTGGGTTGCTAATGATGGATTCGAGTATTTTGGTAGGACTAGTGTCTCTCGCCTTTTATTTGGATTATATTAGATAAATTGACTTGGTGGATTCAAAGTAGGATAGGATAAAAAAAAGAAGCCCAATTGTTATTTCTTTCACCATTTGCTAGTAAGTTGAAGCGAGTTTAACTAAAAAAATTATAATTTCTCTAACTTAAATATGACAATCCAAGTATAGATGATGTGACACAATTCTAATGGCCAAATGTTATCTTTATTTCACTTCATTGTGAAAACAAATTCCAGCCTTTTTAATCTTTAGCAAAAAACTTTGCCACTCATACATCATACATTATCTAAACCTCCATCTCGCTTTAAGTTTTGAGCACCCACATACCAACTGCTCGATTTGCGTGTTGTTAGCATTCCTTGCTCCTCCTCTAATGTCTCTCATTATTTGTATTCATTCTATTTAGTTAATTGATTGTCGCTTCGTAAGTCGTAATATTAACTTTTTACATCTTGATCATCTTATCGATCAGTCATTTGATCAATTTTCAAGAATCTCACATACATTTTAGAGACTCCATTGCACAGTTGGTAATTGTAAAAAAATAATGGCTCCTTCTAAGACCACCATGAAGAATACTAATCATGCAATCAATTCCGTAACGTATGTTAATCGAGACGACTCACTTGAAAGGTCACGACCGAACAGGTCGATACTAAAACTTTTATCCTTTTTATTTTTTTAAAATTAAGTTCCTAATTTAATTTAATTTATCTTTAAATATATTAATTTAAAAAATGTCATTAATAATATATAACCATAAGATTTTCTCATTAACAAAGCGAAAGCGTTATTCTAAAATTTTATCATTTATAAAACATCTTTCACAATAATTAACATTCCTAAATAATTTGTCCCAATATTTATACTCAAATTCTAAGTAAAATTTTACAACATTCATAAGTTTAACATCATTACATTTATTATTTTAAAAATAAATATTCATTTAAAGCATAATCTAATTGTTAGAAACACGCAAAGGTAGGCACATGAGTCACCTAGGTCACTTGAAGTAGCATCAACATCAAACATTTGTATCATTACTTACACCACGGAATGAACGTGAGATATGAATATCCCAATAAGTATAACATGCATGATTTTACATTAAAACTTTTTATATATGAATGTCTTAAAAATTCTTTTCCTCATTTGGGCTCACTAGAAGATACTAACACATGTTAGCGGGTTCTAGCCTCAATAAAACCATTAACCTCATCATTTAACGAGTCAAACCTCAACGTTTATGTCTCGATAAGCAACCTTAACCTTTAAACCTCAATATACATTAAAAAAAAAAAACCTCATTCGTTTATTTAAAACATTTTCTTTCAATCAATATGTAAAACATATGCATGCATATGAATGCACTTTAAGACCATTATATCACATCAATCACATAAAAACACATAACATTTACGTCTATAGTGTAGATGAGTTACACTTACTTGATTCGCTTAAGATCACTCGTTTATCGTAACATTTCTTTAAAAATAGTTACCTCTACTTGATTCAATACCTTGAACATACACACTATATAACATAAGAAATTGAATATTATTATTTTATCTCTAATTATTTAATTTTTATTAATTCCTATTATTTTCCTATAATTTCGTTTAAATTAAAAATCATAATTAAATTATCAACTCTACTCTAATTTATTCAATTCTCTTTTGATTATATTCATATAATCTACTCGTTATTAAATTTTAACTTAACCTTGTCAATTCTTATTTAAATACATTTAATCATCAAATATTCTAATAAAAATTTAAGATTTTAATATTAAAATATAATTTTTACATAATCAATCCTAAATCATGAAATTTTGAACTCAATCCTATCTAAGATCATATAGGAAAAAAATAATTAAGTTTAAATTTTTTCTTACTTTGAATATTTAATCATCAAGACTTGAATTTTCTTCCAAATACCTTTGGCTTCACTTTTTACTCAATTATACTCTCTCTCTCTCTCTCTCTTTCTATGTGTGTGTGTGTGTGTGAAATATAAGCTTATGAAATGACTTTCTTTAATGAGTAGAATGACACCCTATATATAGGCATAGGAAGTTGAAACATTTGAAAATTTTAAGTCCATGAATTAAAAATAATAAAAGACCACTAACTTTTTTTTTTTTTTTATGGTCACTAAGTGGCTTTCTTTCATGACCATTAGCCTTCTTCTTTTATGATCACTTTCTTTTCTTTCATGGCTACCAACCTTTTTCTTTTATGGCTACTTTCTTTCTTCACTACCATTCATGTCTCCTATTTAATTTTAATATATGTTTCAAAACTTTTGCTCTTCTTTCATAGCCACTAACATTCCATTTAAAAGATATTAAAAGTTATTATTATTTCTTTATTATTTTATTAATTATTATTACTCGTTTTAATTCTTTAATTCCTAATAACTTATGCTAAGATTGTAGGACTAGTTCCTATTTATAAAAATACTATCTATAATACCTAAAAATATATATTATATCCTAAAACTCTATGCAAAATCATAAAATGATCTAAACACATAAAAAATATTAAATTACAAATACAAATAAAGCACATTTGCACACATATACATATAATATATTATGATCTAAAGTTTTTGGATATTACAATTCAATAACCCACAATAGTGATGGTACCTTGCTTGATTCTAATAACAATGCCGACAATACTAGCCTACTTAATTCTAAGAATGGAAACAATCCTCAAATCTCTCCAAGTTGACAATGTTAACTTACTAGCCCTTCTAGGCGATGGCTTGCCTCGATCCATGACTTAGCTCCTACCATGGTTGTTACATAACTAGTCTTTCAAGTCATGGACAAAATCTTGAAGATCTTCTAAGATACTCAACTCATACTACAAAAAAACAATAATAAGGCTTCGAGTGCTCCGAACATTAATGCTACATTTTTCTAAGTCCTCATTAGCATCACCCAACTAATTCTTATATGTGGATTGCCTTAAACTACTACCTCTCAAACCGTGATATGATCAACCATTAATATAAATAGAAAAAAATTTTCTTACAAAACACCCATTATATTTTTATGCATGACCATAAACTCGCTTCTCCACGATGCTATTTCAAGTTATTAACACTACTATTTTACTAAAGAGAACTTAGAAAAGTTCTTCAATGACAATTGATAAAATCTGCTAGCGCGTTTGATCTTTAACTTTTTTATTCAACCCTTATCGCCATGAGATTTTATCTAAATGACTATGTGAGTCCCGAGTTTAACGTTTATAATGAAAGACAAGAAAATATCAAGAAGCATCTCATAAAATTTTTAGAGACGTTGGGTGTTTATGACTTAGATGATGATTTGAAACTAAAGAAAATTTTCAAATTCTTGACTAAAAAAGCATATACCTAGTATGTGAACTTAGTCTTTATCTTTGTTTAGTAATGAGAAACTATGTGCAAGCTATTTATTGAGAAGTTTTTCTATACTAATAAGAGGGTGATCATGTTTGATTTGGAGAGAGAATGCCAAAGTTCTAGAAATGGGTTATTGAAATACATTGAATGATTTAGAGACCATCTTAGATATCTATGAGGGTTTTGATGAGAAGAAAGTCATCAAACCATGTATCCAGAGAATGTACAAGGATTACATGATACATCTTGAGAATTTAAACTTTATTACTTTTTCTACCTTAGTAGAAAATAATGGTCGGACCAATAACTCTACTATCTTTTATAAAGGAACTGACTTTATCCCTACTATTAGTAATACCAAAAAAGATATTTTAAAAAATATAAACTAGTTAAACGAGCAATCTAATAAAAGATCAAAATAGCTGACTATTGAACCACCAATCTAGGAAGTAAGTCTACCACCACCTTTCCTTCACAATATTAATTTTTTATATCTCAATCAATTCATCGAGTAAACGTTTCATTAGTCTTCAATAAAACTCAACGTAGAGACAAAATATAAAATCTCTGATTTTTTACTTACGAATACTTGTAATATTTCCTGTTGCAGAGAATTCTCATAATCCATAACTATATACTCTGATTTGAGAGAAGAGAAAGAAAAAAAGAAAAGTTTTATTGGGTATATATTTGAATAATTTAATTTGACTCATTTATCTAATTTTGTTGACCTAGTTGGGGTTTGAAACTTATAACATACGAGTGCTGGACTGGGTACGTTTGGTGGGTATAATGCTCTCTTATCTAGTTCGGTTTATTTATCTGACCCTGGAGTCATCCGATCCAACCTCGACATTGAATATTCTGACCACAGAATAACTTTTGTCTTTGGGTCATCCAATCCTATTTCCCGATTGCTTGGACTCAAATTGACTCCAACCACCAGTCTAATCCCATTCCATTCCATGTTCTAATTTAATTTTTTCTTACATCTGTAATGCTCTTTATGTTGTAAAATTATATATAATCTTACAATGTAACTAAATTTGTATTACAGTAGCTATTAATTATATTAATTATGACTCTTGTTACATCAACCTATCAAACTTAGATGTCGTTATAGAACAATATCAGTTTTGCAATTTTTCATTAATCAGGAAAAAACATTTATGAATTTCAAAGAGTATTTAAAAAATAGGGGGAAAAAAAAAGAAACCAGGAAAAAGGACGCTGAGAGAAGTAATGGAGAAAACCCCTGGCTAAATCTCATTGTAATTAATAAAATGGAGGCACAAATTCCTCAAGAAACGATGGAAAGGTGAAGTGGGGACGGGGAAGAAAGACTTTTAGTCGTCTAGTAAATTCAAAACAAATGAAAGAAGAACATATTCCCTCCAAACGATTGGGCAAAAGCCCCCTCTCTCTCTTTCTCTGTTGCCCGCCAAAAAAAAAAAAAAAAAAAAAAGTGAACCCGACGGAATCATGTCTCCGTATGCATATAAATCTCTCTCTCTCCTTAGCGTTTAATTCCTTTCAATATCCTCATTCTCCTATAAATTCCCATCCTCCTCCTCCTCCTCCTCCTCCCTGTCACTAAATTTGCAAGCTCACGTTATATATTAGGATCAACTTAAGAGGTCGACCGAAACCGCTGATCATCGATCATTTACGCATATCCAGGTTCGTCTTCTTCTTCGATTCCTCTCGGTATTGAATTTATTAGGATTGGATTTTGGAAACTTAGCTTTAATTTATATGTTTGGCTGTTCTATAATATTAGACTGCAGATTCAAATTTGAGTTTAGTGTAGTGTATATAGACTAGACGTATGCCTTGTAGTTGGTGTACGTAGTGTCTACGTATGTGTACAGCATACGCACCCACATATTTAGCTGATGTTGATCCCTTCGAGGCTTACCAAACAAGTAGTGATTGCTTCTTTGACTAGTTGATGCATGCTTCGTTACTGTGAAAAGTGAAAACGGAGCATTAATAACGGAAAGCGAAGTTTGAAAGTCACGTTTGTCTGGCTATTGTATAATTATGTATATATGTAGTCTCCAAAATTGACAAACACTCCATTTTCCTGCTTCGTGCCAAGCGTGATTGTGGAGTAGTAGTACTAAATACATTTGAATTAGCCACTTTATGACCTTAATTTTCAATCACTTTGGAATTTGGATTGGATTTTACTTGTCTATATCTATATAAGACCAATGAATCTTGGGCTACATGCTTTGATATGATAGAAATAGCTCGCTCTCATTTCTAAAATTTTATCTCCTCACATCTTTTTCAAGATTTAAACTTAAAGCTTCACAGTGAAAAGTTTTATTCCAGCGACTGGACTGTTCCTTGGAGAGATTAGTATCTTTTATTGTCTATCTCTTTTATCGAATGACAACTAATTGTTGAATTACTTATAGTGACAAACTTCTTCTTCTCCTTCTTCTTTTCTTATATATATATATATATATATATATATGCGCGATTGATAACAGTCATCATTTTAAAAAATAAAAATTTTTATAGATAAATTTAAAAAATAAACAAGTTAAATAACATAATATCCATTGAAATAAAAAATATATATATTTTTTTATCTCTCAAAAAAATATTATCTTTATAAAATGATAATATATATATATATATTTTTAACATCATTGATGTTAAGCAACACTACTCGTGCTCTCAGGAGATATGCCATGTAAAAAGCGTAGCTATTATTTGTTATCTCTGAAATCTGCCGGGCCGGCTACGTAGAAGCTAGGGCAAGCCAATAATAGAGTTCAAAACGAACCCTCATCTATTCCTTGGACATTGGAAACAATATTAATTGTACCATATACCATTATGTCTATTGTCTAATATTTGCCTAAACTTTTTAAATCCCGTGTCTCGCTATTCCTCCCATTCCAGTCAACGTCACGCATACATGACCATCCCTTTTTTTTTTTTTCTCCCCTAGCCCTCTAGACAATTTAGTTAAAGTTGGTTCTTCGGGTTTTAAAAAAGTAGAAGAATCTTCTCTGCCCCTTTAAATCTTGCTTGTTAGTCTCCTGCTATGAAGATTAATTCTTTATACAGAATTAAACTACTGTGCATACGACACTATGCAACATGTCCAATCTTGAGGATTGGGAAGATAACGTGAGTAGTCATGATTCCGGATGTTAGGCAGAGGGTTGGTGTAACTTGGTACAGTGAGGAGAAGGTGAGCTTGCAAATATTAAAAAGAAAAGAAAAATGTGAGTAGTCATGGCTAAACAGAACATTAAGAGAAAAGACTTAAGAGCCACAGATTAGTGCCAACAGATCAGCCAGTAGTCCATTTCTGCTCTTACAGTTGCTCGTCATTCTAGATTACACAAAAGATTTCGCTGCGATCCATCGCGAGTCGAATAGGGGTTTATTGACCGTGAAGTTTCCTCACAAGTTGCCCAGTGGATGCTCTGTCTTGTATATATGCTTTCCAACTTGACTGTTAAAGTGCTTTGCTGCAGCTTTCCAGATCATATAACGGTCCTGAAAGATTTAATTGGCAGTAGGCGGTACTCAATAAATGCATGAAACAGAAGAAAGCAGAATTTCTTCGACTTAACATAGCTTCTGTGTGATTCAAATATATTTAATATATGATGCATCCGCCCTAATCATTGAAACAAGGGTTTGGGCTAAAACGAATAAAGCCAAAAATATTGGTGAAAATAAGTGTAAAATTTTTATCTTCTTTTTGTCAGCTTGACTATCGTGCTGGTATGTGGTGTTCTGTGTCGATGGATAAGATAAAGAGTGTTCTTAAATTGATACTCTTCCCAGCAGCTTAGGGAATAAAACGTTAGGCCATTTATGCCCCCCTGATCATGAGCTCGCTTAAGGAGTAAAACGTTGGGCCATTTATGCCCCCCGATCACGAGCTCACTAGTGACAATTTTTTTAAAGAAGTTCTGGCTAATACACAAGCCCGGCCGCCACCCCACCTCATTTATTGTTTAGCAAGACTTTTCTGGCCTGGATGCAATTTTTGTTTTTCACTATCCGGTTAATGATGCAGCTAAGACCCAGGGGTTTACAGTGAAATTTCAAAAATTGACTCTTGAAAGAGCAGCTTAAAAATGAATGGCTGAGATCATCTCATCAGACCATCATGAGGTGTTGGGGTTCGGATATCTGTCCTAGCGGACCCACAAAAATTTTGAGTACCAAACCTTCTTGCATGTGTGACAAATTTATGGCTTTGCTGCAAATTCCTGCCTAGGTGTCTTCACGGGCTCCCCTACTCTAGAATCCCAAGTACCTGACAGCAGCAATGATACTCAAGTCCACTTGCCTTCGTTTGGCAGAGAAAACACCAAGCTGCATGCAAGTCTTTCTCTGTCAGTATCTGGTTTTGTTGCATTTCCTTTGGCCTATTCATTCATTTAGTCACATGTATTATGGTACTTCTTTTTCAAGTACTTCAATTTTATATAACCGTGGAGAAGAGTATCATTTCTATTTATCATGTCAGAGATATTTCTGTTTTCGCTTCTCAGGACTGAGTTTTTCTTCTGGATCATGTCAATGGAGGTAAGCGCTCCTTGAACTGGTCATATGGTATTTTCTGTTAACATTTTGGGATCTAAATTTCTTTGCCTATGGTGTACTTGCTGAAATTATTGATATCATCTTGATTGCATCCACTTTACCTGTTCTTTCCATTCTCATGACCAATTCTTTTAGGCCAAGGCATTTGTTTGCCCTATGCATGCACCCGAGCCTTATTTTCAAATGTTGTATTCTAAGACTTCAGAGTATAAAGCTGATGCTTTTGGGTATGGGCATGCACTATGCTTTGAACAAATCAAACTAATGATGGCAGTTAGTGATGGAACAGACAAAAAGTTCACTGATTAGCAATTTTAACAGCTATATAGCCTTATAAGATAGTGTGGTCCACCTAGCTTTCAGATGACCAATCTGTCCCAGTATTTTAGCTTTTTTCCTTTTTCGCTAAGGCTTCAGCAGCCATAGTGCCATAGCATATTGCAGGATTTGGCGTCTGATAGTGCTGTTGGCATAAAAATTAAAAACTGCTAATAATGATAGGTATAAACTCCACATCTATCAGTTCACTTGATTAAAAACATCTACGATACGTGATTAAGATGGTACATATGATATCTCAAATGTGGGTCTTTTTCTGGTGAAGTCTTTGGACATTTGGGCCCCACTTGAGACGATCCTTCCACCATTCTCTAAACCTCCTTTTTTTTTAAGTTTTAAGAAAAAGATAATTTAAGAATCCTGAATTTGGCAATTAATTGTAAATCAAATCCTTTTTCTTTTTATCGTTATTGTTAGGCCAAAGTGTTGAATCATACAATAATTACACTACTTAATTTCCCTTTGCATGTCAGGAGGAGTTGCATGATAGTTCAATTTTGATAAATTTATTTTGTCTTTTCTTTTTGTAATCCGAAATGCGAGTAAATTGGAATCTAAAATAGGTAGGAAATTATTAGGTAGTTTTGGTCCCTTGTCTTCAATAGAGTAGTAGGTGGTAGGGCAAGTCAATTTTTATTTGTCAGATAAGTTGGCTGCTAACAATTACAGAATATTAGCCAATATAGCATCGTTAACCTTTTCTCTGTAGGGATTGGATGAGAAATAAATTCCAACGAGACAGTACGTCTCCTCATTGTTATTGGTGCTTTCTCAAAAATATGTCTAAAAAACGAGACTTTTCTTGTTCTCCTTCAGAAATGTTTTTCCCCGTCAGTTTTCTTCCCTGAAGGGCCAAGTCTTTCCGGGTACCTGCAATTGGTGGGGTGGTTGAATGCCACTCACTGAGCTACCCACTTTTTAGAGCATGTATTTAGCCTGTTGCTGGGCAGGGACAGGGTCATTGCCTTTTTCTTGGGTCCATTATATGTTCATGGTTAAAGCAATGCCTTAGTGGACACGATATTTATAGCCATTAATTGGTCGCTTACGTTTAACAATCTTTTGCCCATAAGTTTACATGCAAGTGCTCTAAGCTATTGGCTTGGTATGATTTCTTCCTTCTTTTAGGCCCTCCTTTGGCATGTGGGTCTGGTGGCCGGGTTGAAGTTGACATCATTTTGATTATAGAATCTTATTGCGTAGGCAGAGAAAGTCGTAATTGAGTATTCGCAAAGTGAAATTACGGGCGGGGAAATGTAGGAAGAATTACGGTTATTTATCTATTTATTATAATTATCATAAAGTCGAATCCGATTCTAATACTGGATCGTAAAAACTTTAGGTAAAGTGTGTATTTAGTAATAGGTTTATGAACAAATTTAAATACTAGTATAATAATAATACAAGTTTTATTTGCAAATTAGTAATTTGAAAATTTTTATTTATTTATTTAAAAATAAAGATATTATCATATCAATTTGAGACTAAGAGATTAAAAAGAAGTACATCTATTGTCTCCCACTATTGAAAGCCAATAGGAAAAATATTGCAAGTGTAAAAAACCTGACTGTTTAGGCAGAATCTGCAAAAACCCAGACCAAAAACGAAAAAGCACGTGCATAAACCTTAGAAACGGGTCTGAACAAGAAAGAAGATGGGCATAAACCAATGGAGCTGATGAACCCGATAAAATTGTTAGGAAGTGGTTAAAGATTCGGACAGAACTAGGTGGAGGGCATGGATCATATACTCTTTACATGAGTGTGGGCGGCGTTGTACTTACTAAGTTTAGGAGGCGCGTGGGGCTGCCGATTGGGCTGAATTTTATACCTCAAAACTTGTCAAACAAAGACACAACTAATGATATAGGCGGTGTTTCAAACGAAGTCCAAAATCTCCGAAAACAGAGAACAATAGTGGCTTCACCGGTGATGGCAGTTGAGGGAGGGAAAAAGTTCAGGCTACAGAATCTGGCTCCGATACTATAATAAGATAAGGATAAAGACAAATATTAGAAGAATATCTTTTAGGGATAATTATCAGACTTTTTTTAAAAATCTTTCTAAAAAAATCCAACAGTTAATGTATTTAAGTTATTGATTACAATATATCTTTTAGGGATAGGGATATATATTTTGTTAAAATCTTATATCTAGAAAACCCAACAATATAGTTTTGAATCTCTCAAATTCAAAATAATTTTTCCTCACCAAAACATTCAATAATTAACCCCCTTAGCTCCACTGTGATTTTTAATCAAAAGCTCCATTATATGATTAGGAGTCTGAAAGTAATGTACAACTTGATAAATTAAATTCACACCGAAATTATAGCCAATTTATCCGCAGAAAAATTAGCTTCACAATAAGCATTAGAACTTTCAACTCTCTTCTCCCTACACAATAGATGCTTACTTCATTACTATGACGTGCGCTTCAACCTATTCATTATTTTTTGGAGATTCAACTTCTAATTGAAATTCTTTAACATCTCCATATTTCAAGCTAGATCTAATCCGATTTTAACGGCAAATTTCAAGAGCAAGAGCATTACAAGTTTCAACACTAGCTAGCTAGCTACAAATTTCTCCAGGATTTCCTCTTCTAGCTCCATCAACATTGAGCTTTTTGTCCAACTATATGGGCAAGATATATATTTGGAATACGGGTTAATTATCGAGTGTTTTTTAAGAAAAAAAATATTATTTTGGATTTGAGATGTGAGTTTGATAACTGGAAAACGGTACGCGTGAAACCTGGCAAGCTTCCTCACTTGTAGGGAGAAAAAATAATAAATAATTTGAAAATAATCAGAAAACAGGTGAAAAAGGCCACCAATAAACATGTTACGTGTCAAAATCATGCATAAAATTTGTCACGTGTACTTGTGCTAATTTCTTTTTTGTATTTTTCTCAATAAACAAGAGATTAGTAACGAGTATGCCAGCAAAAAAATATTAATGGGCCCATTTGCTTGATTGCTTTAACGAGAAGTCTGGAGCCTTTTGCTTAGAGACATGTTAGGTTGAATTGTTTAATTCGAGAGTTTAGTTAAACAAATAAATAGGTTAATTACTTTGATCTTCTCTTGTTTTATTGTTTTTTGGGCATCTCCAATTAGATTGTGTGTGCAGCACAATATAATTAATGCAATTTTAATATTCAATTTTCTCCCCAATTTATTACTTTCACCATTGAACCTGCAATAAACTTGCTTCGCCGCTCTTACAATTTTCCAAAACTACACTGAAATATTTATATTTATATCCTCAATAATGGACCTCTTTGATCCATTGAATTGCGTGAATCTATTTATTTGTGCGTGGAAATAGTACCACCAACAGCAGGCATGTTAATTAATTAACTACAACATATAATGATAAAAATAGGAGTAATTCTAAAGGTAAATCCAAAATTTAATGAATACAACTTATATTGTGTTATTAGTGGGAGAAAGGAATTAATAATGGTAGTAAAAAGGATGTTTATCCAATTCTTAGGCCAATATTACTCATTAATCTCTATGTGTTGTCTCCTAACCAAGTATTTTACATAATTAATACACGAATCTTGTTTAGTATCTATTTACTGCAGAGAATATAATATGTCACATATTGTAATAAATATTATTTCCGTACAAATTAACCTCGATTTTTTAATTGATTTCATTCCTTTTGAGGGTAAAACATACGCTGTATTTTTTTTAAAAACAAAATCCTTGCATGGCTCTGAAGCTTTATGCATCCTATAAAGCTTACACGGGGATGTTGTGCTCCCTCTCCTTTTTACTTTCTCCCTTCCCTCTCTCTCAACTTGAAGCCCATCTTTACAAATTCAATGATAGCTTCAAAATTGGGTGAAAGAATCAGTCTTTTGCATAGAATCTTGCTTCTTTCTGTTTCTTTAAGAGTCTGGTGCCAAGCCAGTGGGCTCTTTTTTGCTTTTTTGTTTTTTTTTTTTTTTTTCTTTAGGGGTCTTTTGCTCAAAATCACTTCTTTATTGCCTGCCAAGGTGGGTTTTTTCATGTCTGTCTTGTTTCAGTTATAATTCATTTTGTGCGTTTGGTTATATGGGAATATATTGAATTCTTTTACTTGTGTTAGTGTTTTTGAGCTCAACTTGATTTTAAAGTTGGAAGTGTTTTGTATTTCTTTTCATGCAATGTGTTTGCGTTTTCATCTGAGTGAAAATAAACGAAGAGAAAGCTCTGTTTTTGTGTGTTGAATTAAATTGCTTCTGTGGATCTTATGTTTCTTCTTGTCTGCTCTCTGACAACCTGTCAATCTTGTTTTCATGAACTTGGAAAAAGGGTGGTGATGCTTTTTTGGATATTTGATGTTTATTTTTCGAATGAGAAAGTTCAAATATTTGGGCTTATATAGCCGGGATTTCTGGTAGACCCCATTTTTGTTGCTTCAATGCAATTCTGTGGATCCCATTCTCTGTATTATCTCTTTCTCATTGCCCTTATGTCATTTTGTGCTTGTCTTGTTTGATGAATATGCTAAAGATGCTCGTGCCATTTAAATTCACTCTGATAATTGAATTTTATACAGCAGTAGATATGTGTTTCACTCTGTTTTAAGATGTAACAATGATAGGGTGTTGTATTCTCAGTGCCTAACTTACTAGGATTTAAGATTTTTGTGTGGCTTATAGTGATTATTGACGACTTAATTTGCTTTCAAATAAAAATGTAGGAGACTCAATTGCTCTAAGAACACCAGGACCCCATAAAATTGGTGATTGGAGGTTGGGTTACTAAAGTGAGCGTATGCCTGGAAACCAGTACAACGGTAACTCCTCCCATAACTCAGGTCGTGTAGGACGGCTCCTAAAAGTAAGAGAGCAAAGGAGAAGCAACAGGTCTGCCTATTCAAATGAAGTAACTGATAACCATAGAGGAACTGAACCAATTGAATATGATTTTCGCGCACGGGAAGGTGACGGATTAAACAATTCCCTTATCGAACAATACTTGGAAGGGGCTATCGCGGAGGGATGTGAAAAGCCGGATGTCAGGCCTTTAAGGCAAAGGCTACTGGTGGTAGCTAACAGACTGCCTGTATCTGCAATTAGAAGAGGTGAAGACTCATGGTCTTTGGAGATGAGTGGCGGGGGCCTAGTCACTGCTCTTCTAGGTAAGCAAGTAAAATATTTAATGCATTGATTGTTGTTCTAAACATTTCATGTAATGGACCCCAAAGTAGTTGAGGCTAAGAGTTAGTTGAGTTTGGTTGTCATTTGAATCATTCATTCTTACTGTTCAGGCTTCTGTCACCTCTGTTTTGCTTTTCTACTTAATGATTTTTGGACTTTATCTTTATTGCATTTACTAGTTCCTCTTGTGATGATGTACCTGATGCATTTTGGGGAATGTTTTCCAAGGTGTGAAGGAGTTTGAGGCGAGATGGATTGGCTGGGCTGGGGTTAACGTGCCAGATGAAGTTGGCCAGAAGGCGCTCACTAAAGCTTTGGCTGAAAAGGTATAAATTTCCATGCCAGAAAACTTTTGAACTTGAATTCTTCTTAACTTGCACATTCTTGCACGTTATACCTAACAACTCAAAAGTAGTTGATTCTCTCCTCTCCTTCATTTGTTGCAGAGGTGCATTCCAGTATTCCTTGACGAAGAGATTGTTCATCAATATTATAATGGCTACTGCAACAATATATTGTGGCCTCTCTTTCATTACCTTGGGCTTCCACAAGAAGACCGGCTTGCCACAACCAGAAGTTTCCAGTCTCAGTTTGCTGCATATAAGAAGGCAAATCAAATGTTTGCTGATGTAGTGAATCAGCACTATGAGGAGGGTGATGTTGTGTGGTGCCATGATTACCATTTGATGTTCCTCCCAAAATGCCTAAAGGAATACAACAGTGATATGAAAGTTGGTTGGTTTCTCCATACACCCTTTCCTTCTTCTGAAATCCATCGGACACTGCCATCTCGATCTGACCTATTACGTTCCGTTCTTGCTGCTGATTTAGTTGGGTAAGTTTCACTTATGCAATGCAAGTCTCTTAAATCATATGCAGCATGTCATTTTAAGATTTGCTAGTGTGGTTGATAGAGTTAAAACTTTGACAGTGGGGAATTGCTGGATTTGTAAATTGTTTGAACTTCACTTTAAACTAGAATCGTTCATTCATTCATTTATTTTCATATTTTGCATCCTCCAACTGAGTATCTCTTGTGTTCACTGTACACGCAGCTGATATAAGGGACTTTATTTCTGTGCCTCTGCTAAACTCCCTTGTCTATTTAGAGACAAGTGTGAGTGTAACCTACTGATCTCATGAACTTCATCTCTCTTGTTTGTTTGTTATGGCAGACAAACAAAAAGCTGATGCGTATATATGACCTTGCATTTTAGGGTTGAAATCATCAGATTGAACATCATCTAACTTTGGTAGTTACAGTTAATGAGAAAACCTAGAGGAAATTAGTAACTCAAGAATAAGTTCCATACATAACTGAGCAATAGAATTCATTGCTCTGAACATATTCATGGAGGATCTTTAAATCTAGCATTATTGATCAAAATACGGTTGGGGGCTCAGGATTCGCATAGGTAAGAATCCAGAACTAGGGTTATCTTTAGTTTGACATTAAATCATTTGATTGTATCAGCAAGTCATGGTGGTTGAACATAGCAGGAACTTTGCTCTCAAACTGAAATAAAATTTTGTTGCTGCAAATTAATTTCTTTGTAACCTGAATAGGAACCCTTTTCTTTTTGGGCTTTTTTCTTCAGATGTAAGAACATTCTTGCAGCATTTGCCAAGACTCGTATCACTACTCACAACATTATAACTTAACATATTGATTTTGTCTTGCAGATTTCACACTTATGACTATGCAAGACATTTTGTTAGTGCTTGTACACGTATTCTTGGGCTAGAGGGCACGCCTGAAGGCGTTGAGGATCAAGGGAGGCTGACAAGAGTTGCTGCGGTGTGTTTGAGTAGAACTATTCATTTGAATTCCTCTTTCCTTGTTTCGCAAAGCCATTACATACTTTTGGTGTTGAAACACAGCATGTCAAAGTTTTAACATGTTTCATGAACAGATAAGATTCTACATTTGTTATAATAACCATGCTCTGTCATCTTCTTGTAATCAGTTTCCCATTGGGATAGACTCAGATAAGTTCATAAGAGCTCTTGAACTCCCTCAAGTCCAGGACCACATCAAAGAACTGAAGGAAAGATTTGCTGGCCGAAAGGTAGATGTGAACTTTGCTTGATTGAGTTATTCATTTTCTACAATATGGTAGTTGAAACTTCTAAGCCTTTTCAATTATCACTAAGTTAACGTTGACTGCACTTGCAATTTATAGGATTTGAAGTACTTGCAAAATATGTAATTGGCTTTGGAACTCTGATTTTTGTTGGTCATAGAAACTCAGAGCACCTCCAGTGCCAGCTGCCAAATCATATATAATTTGAATCTCTGTTTTGTTTCATGGCAGTTGAATTTTGTTTGCCATGAACAGTGAGTTCTCTTTATTTGATATTTAAGGAAAGAAAAAAGAAAGAAAAAGAAGAAGAATTTTCGGTTGTTTTGACCAATGTTGTTTTTTAAAATGATTAACTACTTCCAGACTCCAGCACCAAGACTTGCATATTCTGAAAATGAGGCTTCTCCATAAGAACCTTCATTGTCCTTGAAGGTTAGGTTGTCATTCAGGCTCATTTATTCTGATCTTTACTGCATGAAACTTGAACTCCACCAAATCCAATGCCAAGACACCCATTTTGAATCTTTCAATTGCCCTTTTAATGTAATCTTATGTATCTTAACTTTGAGGTGGGTGTCTTACACCTCCGACTTTATTGCTATCCATTTGTTGCACAAACCATGTCCTTAAATTATATTCTACTATCTGATTACTGCTGAAATTCTTATTATTAACAGGTGATGCTAGGTGTTGACCGCCTTGATATGATTAAAGGAATTCCACAGAAGATTCTTGCATTTGAAAAATTTCTTGAGGAAAATACTATCTGGCGTGATAAAGTTGTTTTGCTGCAAATTGCGGTGCCAACAAGAACAGATGTTCCTGAGTGTATGATTTCTCACCCTTGATACAGTTCCTTTCACGGTTTTTCATCACGTTGTTGGCATTTCAAACTGACTATTCTCTGGAATTTATTTATGTCTTAAAGAGTTATATGTTCCCATATGCCTGAACAATATAGCAAATGAAACAAAAGGTATGGGCATGTAATCTAGATCTTAGCTCGGAAGCTCCGTGATGTATGTCCTAATGTGTACAAAAATGTTCCAAATTACTATTTTTCCTAAACGGTAGAAGCTACACTATATTTTTTCTTTCAATTTCTTTGGTTATAGTGGAGATCATTGTAAATTCAGCCTAAGGTCTCTATGGGAACCCTCACCTCATGGCTCAAAACTAAAGCTTAGCTCGAGCCTTAAGTTGGCACACAAAAAAGAAAATGAGGATGTGAGTATGAAGCTGGATCATGCCACAGATACTCTAGGTTATAGCACACCATGAGTTTTTGCGGCATATTGAGTTGTGGTTTAGTGGTCCATCTACCCTTGTATTGAGCATATTATCTCATATGCCCTTTTAAAAAATTTGCAGTCCTATATGTCATTATGTATTCATATTTTCTCTCGTTCTCGTCACTCTTGGACAAAACTTTCCTTACAAACACCAAAAGAAAAATTAATTTTAAAAAATCTAGAAAAAAATGAAAAGTTAATTTTCAATAATAATAATAATAAAAATCTTGAAAAGCCAAAAAAAAAAAAAAAAAAAACCAAAAACATTGGAACAACAAAAACCTGGAAAAAAATAAAAATTGTAAAACCTAGAAAAAAATAAAACTAACTTTGAAGAATTAAAAAAAAAAGAAAAAAACTATGTCTATAAAGCCTTGTAAATAGAAATATGTCTTAGGCAATGAACAAAGTCCTGAAAGACGGGGGCTTTCAAATGTTTCATTAGTTTTCAATTTTTTTATTTATTTTGGATGTTCCAAGTTTTTACCTTTCTAGTTTTTCAATTTTTCTGGTTTTTTTTTTTTTTCCCTTTTTATCTATTTCTTGATGTTCCATTTTTTATTAAATTAACTTTTCGAGTTCTGTTGGCTTTCTGAAAGTTAATTCATAGGTTTCTTTTCTTTTTATGTTTTGAAAATTATTATTTTTTTGCAGTCTATGGTGCATCTTTGTCTAAAAGTAGCAAAAAAGCATATGAGAGTGAAAAATTGGCATATAAGAGTATAAAGGAAGATAAATACATCATCTCTAAGTTGTTGATCTTAGGTGCATATAGAAGTCACTAACACCAAGAGATAACTCAAGATTTTCCAGGAAGAATGGAATCATTTGGTTTTCTTGATTACTTACCTGAACAAGCTATAGTGGATTTGTGATAACTTTAGTATTTTCTTGATGAATTCAGTAGTTACTTGACAACCTGGGTTTAGATTTCCTTATTATTATATTCTTAAGCTGCATCATACTTTTTTTTTTTTTTGTCTTTTAGTGTATTTATATCATTAGCAACATTAGGCTTTATTGACTTCGATGTGCCCGTATCTTGTCTTGGCCATGCTAATAGATGATCGACTCATAGCCTTGTGTTGCATATCAAACATTGGCTTTTGTGTCGTAACAAAAAAGATAAATCAGTAACTTTTGCTTGTTATATTTACAGATCAAAAACTCACAAGCCAGGTTCATGAAATTGTTGGACGCATTAATGGCAGATTTGGAACATTAACTGCTGTTCCAATACATCACCTGGTAGGTTTTTGATTTGTTAACTCAATGTTGGATTATGAGATGCTAGTCATACATAGCTTGCTGGCTCGACAAATACTATTCGAAGGGAATAAAATTTACCATTGGCTTTATGTTTATCTCGGTTCTAGCTTCTTGCGATACTTTTCAGAAGTGTACATGTTAAGAGAATGGCAGGAATACTGTTTCTATAGCTGAGAAGGAAGTGTGCGGACTACGTAAAAATTAGAACAGTCCTTTCGTTATAACTTACTTAGTTGTACAACGACGCAGACTTTGTTGCCGACTTGCCGTAACACTACCCAAAAATTAAGAAAGCATTTCAAGAATTCAAATTATGTGCAGTTAGTACCGTAATAGTCCAGTATATCCATGGCTAGAGTAATTAACTTTATAACATTTTATACTAGTATGTAAACAAGATTGATATTTTTCCTTAAGGATTCTATTCAGTTACTTTGTTAAGAAAAAGATCTATAAATCAAACTTGTTAGGATGTGTTAGGACTGCAAATCTATTCCTGTTGATTCAAGCAGAGTGTCAACCAGAACTCTTTTACGTGCCTAGGTATCTTCTTGAGCTGTCCAATATTAGCGGTAGTTGTTAATTAACATGATGACAGCAACATAGAGTTTAGGAATAATGGCCAGTATTATCTATCAAGATTTCAGAAAATTTACTTGTTTCTATCTAATCCAAATAGTTAAAAAAAGAGAGCCACCCAACATAAACATTTTTCTTAATATTTGAATGTAAAAGTAAGAACCCTCATGCAGATCTCTGTTTCAGAAGAAAAGGAAGAGCCAAATGACCTCTGGCCTTATATCGAAAGGCAAATCCTGGCATACAAAGCTGTAGCCAAACGCAATTGGATGTTTGAACATTCTATGTCCAAGAGAAGTGCAAGTCATTGAGAAAACTTTTGGGGAAAACAAAAGGATTTTATGTTCAGACAACAGTTTTTGTGCACTAAGTTTTGTTCAGGTCTCAACAAAATATAACAGCATGGAAGAAGATAAAAATAAAAAGAAACGATAACAAGATGCCAGTTTTTGAGCTGGGTGGTTTATAAATAAGAGGAATCTGAGAACCTTGGCTAGGTTTCTGCTTGCTTGTGGGAGATTTTATTGAGAAAAGCATAGTATTAGAACTTCTGTAAAGATTTACGCTCTGCTCTTAAAGAAATGTCTGGTTTTCTGCGTCATCTTCTAATGATTGAATTTTGCAACTGATTATCTCAATGAGAAATTTTTGAAGCAGTTTCTTTTGTGATTACAGGATCGCTCTCTTGACTTCCATGCCTTGTGTGCATTATATGCAGTCACTGGTAATTTTCTTCATCCTTGAACTCCTAGGCTCTCCAACTCTCTCTCTCTCTCTCTCTCTTTTTTTGGGATATTTTGTATAGTTTTTTCTATTTCTGGATAAGATTTACCTTATTGTTATTTCTGCAACTGAAAACAATGGAGCAGGCAATAGTAGTAGCTCTTATTATCAATTGTCAAAGATGGTTCGATAGAAGAAACTCAGTAATGAAGACCTTATTTTAACCTTCCTAGACCTATTTTAAGGAAAATCCTCTCTTTAAAATAAACTCGTACCAACAATTTTTCAACTTATAGATTGATCAAGTCCTATATTCTTCGGAATTGGATGTTTATTTTCCTTAATTTGCTTAAGTTTCTCTTCCTAATTTATTTCATTTTTCCCCTTTCCCTTCTTACCATTGCCACTGTAAAATTTGCTATGTGGCCACAAAGTTATCAAAAGGAAGAAATTCACCATCATTCAGAAGCACTGCAGATTAAATTATCAATATTAAGTATAACAACGAGAACAACAATAATATTAACAAGGTAGAGATGGAAATGACAGCTGATAAAGTTAACATCCTTGCTTGTTATTCGGACAGCAGCCTATTAACTGTTTCAAACTCGTGCATCAGTTAGATTGCTAGCTTATTTGTTGGACAGTGACAGAATCCTTGTTTAAAATGGTGCTTATCTGAAAAGCTACATAGCATGCATTTGTACATAATGAAGTGGATATGCAAGTGGAATAGCAAATATTTCCCAGATAGCTGCATATATATATATAAGCAGAGGTTGGGAATGTTGTTCATAAGCCAAATCATCAGAAAAGCTAAATCAAAAGTTGAAACTTATGAAGTGGGAGGTAACTGGAATATTATCTGTTTGAGACATCAACTAGTGTGTGTGCCCCATGTGTGCATGTGTGTCTAGTATCATATCCATTGTGCATTTCATTCTACTTGTCAAGAATTGTTACATAGACAGTATTGAAAACCAAGATGATTGCTGCAACACGACTAAAATTGATTTCGATTAGGTTATTGTTCCTGTAAAATGTTTCAAACATATTTGCACCACTTAGATGTTAGCTCATTATTGGGACCCGTGTGGAGTTTGTTCAAAACTATACTTAGCTGAACAGCGATGTGGCTTGTATTCTTCTAAATGGAGTGGACATATAAATTTATGCATGCACACACACACACACACACACACACAAATGCACATGCACATGCACACATTTGTATATATTTATGAAATTCTATTTGTTCAGAAATTGTTATTTGGACGCATCCATATAGTACTCTGCTCGTCTTCACTATTTGAATATGAGCCTTTCCTTGTGTATTATTGTTCAACTGGAAATGCTATACTTCCAAGTAGGGTTTTTTGCTATTGCTTGACGTTTGAGGCTTCTTATTACTTGTGAAAATTGAATATGAAAGTATGCCAGCTGTTCTAGGGTACCAGATGGTGTCAGAATTACAGCAGTAACTAGTCAATTCACGAAGTTAGAAGATTTGAAATCTGTAAATGTATTGATATCAGACTGTCAGTAGAGGTCTGAAAATGCTTTCATTTTAGACTTCAGACAAACTTCAGGAACTAGACTATTGTCTCAGAATGTTGACAGTTTTAATCACAGTGAAAATCCACAATGTTTTCTCCTAAAAGTAGAACCCTCACAGTTTAATGGTATTGTTATTAGAAATGGAATCACTATACAAGAAACCTGGTCTTATTTTCAGCTGGTAATTCATCATTCCCCATGATGCTTTTCTCTCTCCCTTTTCAGATGTTGCTCTTGTAACTTCTTTGAGGGATGGAATGAATCTTGTCAGTTATGAGTTTGTAGCATGCCAAGATTCGAAGAAGGGTGTGCTCATTCTTAGTGAGGTAATTGCAAATTAGTTAAAATGTGTGATGTCTGGATTTTCCTGAATATTTGTGATGTTGTTTATCTCTTGCACGTGTGAAAATGTAGTTTTGTTAGTCTTCTTGTTATCTTCTCTAGCTATTGCTTTTGTATCCTTTTAACGGATCTCATCTTTTGCCTTTTTTTAATGGTTTGGCTTTGTGTGGCTGGATCTGACACCTTCAGTGATGTTTGCTCATGTAGCAACAAGCAGCAACTTTCATAAATATAATCACCAAGTTTTTGGAACATACATTTAGTGAACTTAAAGATTCCTTTTCTTCCGAAAAGACAGTGGATGGCATATTTCAGTTTTTGAAATATCACTATTTTTTTTCCTGTCGAATAATTAGCTGCATTTGTATCAACATTTAAAGACCACAAATATCTTAAATTCAAACTTGTAACTTAATTCCAACAAACTACAGAGGCCGCAGACTTAGTTTTTAAATTGTAGTAGATGGTTTTTACTGCTGCAGGATTTTGACCAAATACAAGCTTTTTCCGCATTAATCCTTGATGCTGTGTTTTTCTGCATTGTTTTGGAATGAATTCAATTATATTTATTATAAATTGTCAATAGCTGTATATTTGAATAATTGCTATTTTCTGTATATTATAGATTATATGTCTCCCAGTCTTAAAAAAATAGGCTTTTTGTATTTTGTAGTTTGCAGGTGCAGCTCAATCTCTAGGTGCTGGAGCAATCCTTGTGAACCCTTGGAACATCACTGAAGTTGCTGATTCAATACGCCAAGCTCTAACTATGTCACCTGAAGAAAGCGAGAAGCGACATCGGCACAACTTTGCTCATGTGACAACCCACACTGCTCAAGAATGGGCTGAAACTTTTGTGAGGTATACTTATAATGGTGTTTGAAGTAATGGTAGATTATCTTTGAGAAAAGACCAAAAGTACTTCAGGTCTTAAAACCTTTTTGGACATTGGTTGTTCATATTATTTCTCTATTGTAATTACCAGGTTTCTCAGTTCGTAAGCAGAAACTTTTTAAATGCGATCTCCTTATGCAATCATAAACTTGTTCTAAAGAAGAATTACCTTCTATCTCATGTGCGATACATCAGAGTACACTTCTATTGTGCTTTTATGCATTTGAACTTATGAGAAATTGTGTATTGTGATATTCTCTGAGATGGCTGCTTGCTTCACAGAGCAGGCTTCTTTTTCCTCTCCATAAGGTTGTGCTAGAGACCTTGCAGATTTATTCTGTAGAACCTTTGAAGAAGTAGGATAATTAAGTCTGGATGAGCAATGTCTGTCGCAATGTTATGGTCTTATATCATTTTTTTTTAACTTTTGAATGCTGTTGGTGCATGTTAATAAATGACCACATCTGGCATACTATCTGTGTATAGAGTGAATTACAATTGGCAATAATTAATCATTACCAATAACCTTTAGATAGTGATGAATAAAATAATTAATTATGCGAAAAACTGAGAATATCCTGGTGTATTTTTTCAGCAAAGATGGTCAAACTATTATATTGCTAGTAGTCATAATTTGACTTGGAAATGTGTAGTACTGCGTTATGCAAACTTCAGTATTAAATGTGGCTATTTTCATGTTTTGCAGTTTTAAGAAAACAAGAACAGAAATTTCAAGCTTTTCAACTTTCCTTTTGTGGTACTAAACCTTGATTTTTGAATAATTTCTTCACAGTGAACTAAATGATACAGTTATCGAGGCACAACTAAGGACCAGGCAAGTGCCACCTGCACTTCCAGAAGAAGATGCAATTAGACGTTATTTGCAGTCTAATAACCGGTTGCTCATACTGGTACACTCCTTTTTTGACATATATAATAACTGGTTTGCTTGTTATAATTTTGAACAAATCATCATGTCTCTCAGCTCGGAATGAGAAATCCTATTACAAGTATATTTTAGATACACCAGAATTTGTGCAATTTTCTTCTGATTGGAAGCTAGACAATCTATTTTTAGTGAAAGAATTTTGTTTCTTTCACTTGAATACTCGAATTCTTTTTTAGCCTGTTTCCCAGATTGTTGAGGAGTACGTTGAGACAATATATATATATATATATATACACACAGCAAAAGCTAAATGCTGAAACTGAAAATTGCACCAATTTCTACTTACATTCCATGGTTTGAAGCCTGCTAGCAACATATTAAAAATTGCATCTGAATGCTGTGAGAGAAGCAGACTGGTAGTGATGCATCTGTTTTACATGGTGATCATCATGGCCTGGTCCATTCCCTCAAGGAATCAATAAATTTGTATGAAAATGACTTCATAAAATGAATACTTCTGCTATTTTCTGAATCAAAGCGTAACCTTAGAACATATTTAATGGGAGTTACCTGTCATTCTAAACATGTGCTTTTCTTCTTCCCACCATGCTATTGAAACCTAGTAAGGCTTTTGGACAATTTTCATCATTATAATTTGAATCTGAATGGGATTAGAAACCTATGGTATCTCGTATAGATGGTTTAAGCACCTGATTTTTAATGGTCTTAAAAATGTTTCTGTGCTGGCTTTCTTCTCTCATATGATTTGTGGGTACACTACAGGGATTCAATGCAACATTGACTGAGCCAGTGGACACTCCTGGGAGTAGAGCTGATCAAATTAAAGAAATGGAACTTAAATTGCACCCAGAGTTAAAAGCAGCACTTACAGCACTTTGCAGGGATCGAAAGACAACCATTGTTGTTCTCAGTGGGAGTGACAGAAAAGCATTAGATGATGTATTTTCTCTATTTCACATTCATTTTCTGTTTACCCTGTTATGAAAATGTCCTAACCAAGTGTCCTCTGTTCCTCAGAACTTTGCAGAGTATGACATGTGGTTGGCAGCAGAACATGGAATGTTTTTGCGACTTACAAATGGAGAATGGATGACAACAATGCCAGAACACATAAATATGGAATGGGTTGACAGTGTGAAGGTGCTTCTGTTATAATAGTGCTCATTTTTTCTTATCCATTCTTGCCAATAGCGATATGACACCTTTCACTTCTTTTCAGCATGTTTTTGAGTACTTCACAGAGCGTACACCCCGATCCCATTTTGAACCCCGTGAGACATCACTTGTATGGAATTACAAGTATGCAGGTACATGTCTTTTTGGAGTTTGGACCAGCTAATATTTCAAAGCTAATTTATCTCTGCTTGCTTCCTCGATGTTTTGTGCTGATATTATTATAATTCTAGATGTTGAATTTGGAAGGCTTCAAGCAAGGGATATGTTGCAGCACCTCTGGACAGGCCCAATTTCAAATGCTTCTGTTGATGTGTTCCAAGGGAGTCGATCAGTTGAGGTTCGAGCAGTTGGTGTTACAAAGGTAACTATATGATTGATATAGTTAAAATTATTGACATTACCAAAAATTTTCATTGTACTAGCATTGGAGTTGTTTGTTCTGTATATGACAGCTTCATATTTATTCAGGGTGCTGCTATTGATCGTATACTGGGAGAGATTGTCCATAGTAAATCCATGACAACACCAATTGATTATGTCCTATGCATTGGCCATTTTCTGGGAAAGGTAATTTCAGCTACTTTAAGCTCACTTGCAATATTAACCACAATCTTGGGGAGACCAAAATCTCAATCTAATGTTGGTTCTGAAGACTTGGTTCATGTACTTGTATTTTTGCACTATGATTTGGCTTTAATGGACTTCTATTTTGTAATAAATGGAAATCATTGTGCAGTTGATTAAGTTGGAAAACTGAAAATGATTAAATAATTAATGTGATAATCATGTTGCAGAAGTATCCTTTTGTTGACAGCTTGAATAAACCTGTTTGAGGATTCAATATGACAGCAATCATAATAGTTAGCTTGTCTTAAAACCTTTCATACATTTTTATCACTCCCAAGCTATATGAAGTACGTTTTACCCTTCAAATGGTTTATCAAGCTCAAATGTTGAGCATTCATGTTAACCATTCTTTATTGCCATGCATATACTTTCTCAAATATGGTATTAATCATTGAATAGGATGCACATAGATCTCAGATTTCAGATAACTTATCTCACCATCCTTTTAGTCATCTAATCCTGCAACAGCCTTGGTCATAGAACCCATTTATGAGTTTAATTGACTATTAACTGTTTCAAATCCCATTCTGCAATGTAAAGGATTCATTATTATGGGGCCTTAAACAGCTTAGTAACAACTTTATAAATTAACTCTTGTCTTACCTAATCAATTCATTGTTATACAATGGAAATTGTGTCTATTGACTTGGTGTGCTTGTACTTTAATGGTGGAATCTCATTGTCATACATGTGATCATCAGGATGAAGATGTGTACACCTTCTTTGAGCCAGAGCTCCCTTGCGATGGCTCAGGTGTTGCAAGAACTAAGCAAAATGATGGACTAAAATTACCTAGTGAAAGACGACCTTCTATGAAGCTTCCAGCCAGTAGAAGCGGGCCTAAATCATCTCAAGGCAAGGCACAACGTCCGTTGCTAAATCCTGAGAAGAGAATTCCTAACCACAGCTGTGGGAGTGGGCAACGGCCATCAGCAGAAAAGATTTCATGGAGCGTGCTTGATCTCAAGGGAGATAATTACTTCTCCTGTGCTGTTGGTCGAACTCGCACAAATGCTCGCTATCTACTTGGATCGTCAGATGATGTTGTGTCCTTCCTAACCAAACTAGCCAAAGCATCTACGCAAGACATAAAGCGCTGAGGTTGAGAAGAAATGTCTTTCCCGCAAATGGTAATGCATCTACCCAAAATTCAAGAACCAGGTCTGGCTTTTGAAGGCAACCATGGTGAACGGTTTGAATGTTGTAACATCACTACTTAGCCTAGAATACTTGCTATGCCCACCTTAGACTCACATAACCAAAGGCATCAAAGTAGAACCGAAAAAAAAAAAAAAAAAAAAAAAGCAGCAAACCATGGCAGTGACCTTTGTTGAAAGATTGAGGAAGTGAACTATTATAGCCTCAATTTCTTCATTTCTCTTCTTTTGCATCTATCATTCCTAATGTTTATTTTTATAATTTTGGAATGAGCACTCGCAAAGAGCAGTAATGGTAAGAAATGAAGCTTGTTAGCTTCTCCTGGTGTATGTACAGTGCCGTCAGTTTTATCCCTTACAGAAATGTTTGATCTCCTATGTAATGCATGTGTAAAACTTGTGCTTGTAAGTTTCCAACTTGGAATCCTGAAAATGGTGATACCAACCTTCAGGGGTAAGTCCGAAAGTAACCTGTTAAAGTGGCATGTTTTTGGGTTCCTTTCCGAGATAAACCAAGAGAACAACTACAAAGCAAGTTAACCTTATTTCTTAAACTTTTTAACTTTGGTTGCATAATGAATATTTTCAGATACTGAATGGTGTAAAGCAAAAAAAATATATATATATTTTTAATATAATTAAGTTGTATTATGACTTATTAAAGAACAGCATAACATTTTTATTTTAGTTTCTCAAGTTATTTTAAGATTTTGAGTTAAAATCATACTTTAAAGCTAAAGTGAAAAACTGTGCTTTAACATTAATTAATGTTAGAATGACATGCCATTATAATACCATCTCATTACATTCTGTATTTCATCTATACGATTTGAATCTTGTTTTTGTCCTTTAAGAGGTGTTTGGTATGTGGATTTTCAAATATCCTTTTTTTCTTTTTTTGGAATGTAATTGTTGAGAATGTATTATTTGTATTTGTTTGAAATTGAAAATCGGTAGGAATGTGATTTTATTGTGTTCCGGTTATTTATGAGAATTCGTGAGAAATTTAAATAAGTTTACTATTTTATCTTTAAAGATATAAAATATCTAATTTGTTAAAATAATATATTATTTAAATTTAAAATTAATTTGGCAACACGATATTTTTTTTCCTAAATAATAATGCATAAAAAATACACAATATAGTAATTATATTTAAAAATGTGATGTTTATGTTCGGTGGAAACTGAAAATTGCTAGGAATGTGATCTTATTGCGCTTGGTTCATTCACGTGAATTCATGAGAAATTTAAATAAGCTTTTTTTTTTTTGCTCTGTCAACGTGATATATTGTTTTTTTCTAAATAATTGTGCGCATAAGATTGTGTATAATATATTAATTATATTTAAATTTAATTTGTTGGTATGATATTTTTTTTTCTTCTAAATAATTGTGCTCAAAAGCACATATATAATATAATGATTATATTTAAAATTATGAGTTAAAGTGTTAAGTAATTGTGTTATTATTGATAAAAGTAAGGACATGTTAGTCCATTTAAAATAAAAATAAAAACATTAATTTTTTTTTTTAAAAAATACATTCTCTACAACCAAGGAATGTGATTCCCCTCATTTTAGAAGGGTATTACAGAGTTTATGAGGGAATGTGATTTTTAGAACATCTTAAATATTTTGGCATTTAATATTTTTTGACAAAACAAACACAAATATGTTTGGCATTTAAAATTTCTATATCCAAAAGCCATCTTTGGTTGTTTTCTCTTTATTCAAGTCTCATTATTTTCCCTTCTAAAAAAAAAAAAAAGAACTTTAGTATAATCCTTAACAACTTTAGTCTTAGGGTCTAATATAAAATTTAGAATAATTCCTGATTTTTTTGTATATATATAATCCAAACAAATCCTAATCTAACTTATAATTCTCAAATGAGTTTTACCAATATATTTTTCGTATTATTTTAATTGAAATTTTGTATTATTTTTTATATTCATAGAGTATCTTTATTTTTCATTTTGTTTGTTTTCTTCTCTCTATTATAGCATTAATAGTTGTGAGCTGACTTGACTCTAATATGATGCATTCATTTTTTAAGATGTGACATATGTTAGAGATGAGACTCCAATAGAGATATTCAATCAAAACAATATAAAAAATATGAATGCTCATATATATATATATATATATTATTGGTTAAAACCTCATCCAAAAACACATGAAATGTGTAATTTATGAGACCTAGTCACATGAAATGTGTTCTTAATATCCTATTTTATAAAAGAAATGTCATATTTCCAATTTGAATAAATAATGTCTAATCAAGCAGTTAGTTGTTTGCATAATTACAAAGTTTTAAGACCAAAATGCACTTGTACATATGCGCGTAAGGAATGGGTGGGATGAATGTTTGTAAGTGTATCCTTTCCTTATAAATATCATACGCACATTTGTCAATGGTATTACTTGTGCCAAATGAGGTGAAACATAGGATTTTTTTCCAAAATCATCCTCATAAACATTTTAAATGTTCTGCAATAAATTAACGATTTTTCTTCTAATTAAACAATACTGCTGAGTATCTTAATTGTATGTCAATTCATGGATTCCTACAATAGAGGGTTTGTCAGCTGTCGGTGATTGGATTTAAAATTTTCTTATATATATATATATATATATATATATATATAGAAAATGTAACAAAAAAATTCCTCCACAATAAAGAAAAAATATTTAATCACTGATGTGATCATTTTTATTTTTCATTTTTTTGTAAAAATCAAGGAAGTCCCATCAAACAAGACCGATCTTTTGGGAGTTGGGACCAGGACGTTGATGGCTGCAAATAAAAAGGTTTGGTGGATAGCGTGGGTCCTCTGTTAATTCATGGTATTTGCAGCTTAGCCAATCCATTTACCGATGACCATCCATCATCAGCTTTAGACAGAACTGCTAATGATAGCCTGATTGATGTGGAGGAATTTTTGTGTTACATTTTCTATATATATATATATATATATATATTAAAAGGTCAACTCCATGTCTGAGAAGAAATCGGTTTCAAAGGGCTAGAACATATTTGCAGTCCGACGGCTGCTAAAAGGCCAAAAAAAAAATTCCCATGTAGACTCCTCTGGTCCTCTCTTATTCCGCGTAAAACTCCTATGCGTCAATTTCTAGATTATTTCCAAACATGGCGGGCTGTCGACACGACAGAATCTTTGGGATGTCAGTGTTGCAATTTTAGCTGCTAAAAATCAGTTTAGATACGAAGAAAGAAGGGCCAGGTGTCTAGGCTACCACTAGAGGGAAGAAATTATGCCAGAATCTTTTTTTTTTTTTTTTATAGGGGTAAAAAGGGCATCGTCCAGCTAACCAAACATTCAAGTTGGTCCTCCAAAAGCCTTTTTTTGTTTTTATCCTCGAGATTTTCTTTTTCTTTCAATTACACGTGTTTTTTTTTTTTTTAACCTTTCTTCTTTTTAGTTCTTTTCAATTTTCACCCTAAATTCTTCTTTATAAGGCCCCCTTTTTTTTTTCCCAATTTTCTCTTAATTGTTATTTCATTCTTTTCTTCTTTGATACTCTCTCTAACCCAAAGAGATCGTCTTTTTTACTTTTTACATAATTTTAAAAAGTTATTAATTTTTACATCATCTCATTTTTATTCATACTTTTCTAAAATACCATTTTTGTTAAAATTGTTAATTATTAAATTTAATCTTTCATTACATGGAATTAATGTTTAAGAAGAAAAACTATCCAAAATTAAGATGGTAAATCAAAAAGAAAAATCATTAAATTAATTAACAATCAAGTTTAAAATAATTATAAAAATATTTTGTTCTCAAAATTTTAGCATGTAGTAAGTCCTAACAAGATTGATTTTTTTTTTTTTGGTAACAAATTTTTTTTTTAATTTTTATGTTAAAACTATTTGTATGCATAAAAATAAAGAATAAAGAATATTGAGTTTTTATTAGTGAAGAACAAAAAATGAAAAAAAAAAAAGAATTGATTTTCTATAATAATTAGAGGTATAGAAAAATGTATTATCTAAAATTTTGATGAAACAAACAATTTAGGAAAGATATAAATAGAAAAGATGACAATCTTTTTGGGACGGATGGAGTATATGTGTGTGTGTGTGTGTGTGTGTGTGTGTGTGTGTGTTTCCTTTCAACCACCCTTTTTTATTTCTTTTCTTTTTTTTTATTACCATCTTTTGGTTGCTTTACGACAAATTAGGAATGAAAACACATGCATATCCTAAAATGTTAAAAATTTATAAACCCACCTAAAATTAAAAAAAAAAGAAAGATATTAGGCGACATGCAATATTGTTTTGATTTTGTTATAAAATTTTATAAAGAAACAAAGGAGTCAAAATTAGATTATAATGGCTCTTTTCTCTTTACAATGCTTACGATATATAATCAATAAAAGAATAACTCTTGGTTTGCTTTGCGTAGTAAACTTGTAAAGTAAAATTTCGTAAATTAAAAAAGAGGATGAATCATTGTGAGAGAGACTGATCAAGTTATGGAGGTGACTAGCCTTCAAAAGAAAATAAAAATATTATCAATCTATATTCTTCAAAATTATAGCATTTTGGTTCATATTCTCTTCAAAATTACAACATTTGGATTCGCTTGGTTTGAAATCATGGCATTTAGGTTTACTTTAATTTTAAGATCATGGTATTTGGGTCTACATTGGGTTTAAGATCGTGACATTTGGGTCCACGTTGGTCTCAAACTTGTGGCATTTTGATCCATAGTATTTTTAGAATTATGGCATTTGAGTCCACTTGTAGTTTCAAAATTGTGACATTTGGGTCCATACTATCTTTAAAATCATGGCATTTGGGTTCACATTAGTCTTTAAATTGTGGCTTTTGGGTTCATATTGGTTTCAAAATTATGGCATTTTGGGTCCAGTTTGGTTTTAAAATTGTGGCTTTTAAGTCCATATTGTTTTCAAAA